TTAGGGGAAATTTTTTTTTTTTTTTTTTTTTTTTTTTTTTTTTTTGGTAGATGAGGGACAACCTCTAATTTGAGTACAAGTCTGCCTTCTGCCCCACTGTCTCTCCTCTCTGCCCCCGTAATGGAAGTCCCAAACTTGCCTCTTAAAAGCTCTCCTAACTGACAGGAGTGCTGGGTTATGTTGTGCCTGTTTGCGTGTCAGGCCAAAATCGGGTATGTTCTGAAGAAATGCAGCATCTAGAGAAGAAATGCACGTGTGAGCCCCTGCCAGTGAGCACGACGGTCCTGGCCTTGTCCTTGCTGCGTTCCTAAAGCTGTTGTTTGCTTGTGTTCACCTGCAGGGCAGTCCGATGGATCCGATGGTCATGAAGAGACCGCAGCTGTACGGCATGGGCAATAACCCTCATTCGCAGACACAGCAGAGCAGCCCCTACCCCGGGCAGTCGTACGGCCCTCCTGGCCCCCAGCGCTATCCTGTGGGAATGCAGGGCCGGGCCCCGGCAGCCATGGCCAGTATCCACAGCAACAGGTTTGTGGGGGAGTTTGCTGCGTTGCTTTGGTTTCCCTCCTCCTCTCCTCTTCCCTTCTGACACCGTAGTAATGCAGAGGGTGCAAGAAAAAAAAAAAGAACAAAGATGAGTATTTCTCATTCAGAATGAGAGCGAAGAACTGTTTTAAAAACTGCTTTAATATTAAATATGTTATGTTGACAACTTAAACATTTTCTGAAACTTTATATGAAAACTTCAAGCTTGCATCAGTACAGCAAGACTGGTGTTGTCCACTGCATACCTATTTACATTACCTAACATAATTAGTAAGAGCTTTCTGTAATTTTTCTATTTTTTTTCTCCCTTAGCAGCTCCTAAAATAGTTGGCTTTGTGTCAGAGGACATATAAGAATCTCCTTTGATCTGTTTGGATTTCAGTGTTGATGGTGGCCTTTTCTGTTTTTCTATCCATTTGAAGAGAGGTAATTACCCATGTGCTTAGCGTATGCCAAGGAAGGTGCAGTGGTTTTGTAGCAGGGAAGATAAGCAAGGTTATCCAGGGGTTACCTTGGCAGGTTTTTTGCTAGATTGTTCCTACTAGGTTTAAGAGGGAATTCTCTACTTTGTCGCAAGTGCAACAGATTACTAAGGTGCTAGTTAATGGGAAACAGTGTTTTTGTTCTGTACGTCTAACTGGTTGCAGATCAGTTCATTTCATATATTGTTAAATGCAGAGCAAGCACTACCACCACACATGAAATAATGACCCAACAAACAGTACTTGGGCTATTATAGGGCTGTTTCTGGCTAATTGTGGTATCCATGTGCGGGCACAGGTTGTTCATCGAGTGGCTGATTACCAATACTTTCATTTATACTACTTGAGTGAGTAGTACTATTTGTCACCTGTCTTTTTTTCTTTATTGAATAGTTATTTACTTGTTAGGAGGAAGTCCTTTAATGTAGCAATGGTGAATAATGTGTTGATAGCTTAAAACAGCAAAGGCTTTTGTCAAAAGTGAAGAGGGTGAAACAGGAAGAAAAGGCTTTATTTTTCTCTGTAGCTGTGGCCAAAATAAAGTTGTTAAAACAGCTTTTTAGTCTTTAAATGAGTTATTCTGTGCTATGTGGAGACGAATGCTGCATTTTCCCCTCATTTGCTAATTGCTCGATAATTGTAAATTACCCGCGAGGCGGCAGCGACCTGGCGCCGCCATTGGCTGCCGGCCCTATCCGTCTCCGAGCGGCCTCGGTACAACCGGCCGCGCAGCAGCTCCCAGCACTGACGCTCTTTGGGGAAAAAGTGAGAGGATAATTATGACATTGAATTTTTATTGAACGGACATCACCACCTAGGCATGATTTTGTTTTGGACGGCCTCCAAAGCTTCGCGTGTTTGGTTTGTGAACCTCTAATGATCTGAATCCAGTTCTTTTCATATTGCTCATATATTACCACCTTCTACAAAGGATTAATACAGGAATGCAGGTTTGTAAATTGAATTGCCACCTTACCAGCTGAGTGGTAAGTTGTCTTTGGCACTGGATGCCACAGTTTGATTCCTGGCTGGATTTTTTCTCCTGTGACATGAATATTAAATAAGAAGAGCCCAGCTACGCTTGTTAAAATTGACTGCATAGCGTGTACCTACTTCTGCCTATAAAATGCATAAAATATATAAAATAATATTGCCAAAAGTTTCAGAAGATGAATCTCAGCACTTTCCAAAATTTGGAGTCCTTTACATGTCACAGTGAATTAATCAAAAGCCTGAGAGCATGAGGCACTTCTGAAAACTTGATCTGTTAAGAAATGCTGGGGCTTAAATGTGTGCAGTGTTCACATCTAAGTACTGTGCAGAGAAAGCACTGGGTAGATGGATTATGAGCATGGAAGTGTCACACTGGAGGAAGGGAGGGAATTGAGTATATGTGCTAAAGCCTCCCTCTAAGGGAGGTGGTTCTTATTTTAAGTTATAGTCTGCTGTTGCCCAGAGATAGATGAGATTGTCAGCTCTGTTTCCTTGAATGAAATGAGTGGGCTTTTTGGGAGGCTGCAAGGATTTGAGAATTTTGAAGAAAGAAGACCTTGAAATGCGAGCTTGACTCTTTGTCATGGCTTGAGGGACTTGACAGATTTTGACTTGCAGGCTCTGCTGCTGGATCCTTTAAATGTAGAAATAAAGATGAAAAATAACATCCTACAGAACCAAGTAAGCTAGTGAAAGTGATGGAAATGAAGATAACTACTGCAACAGGATGTAGAACAGCTACCTATATCTAAATGGAGAATAATATATTTCTGATGGAAGCCACTTATTCCAACCTGCAATCTAGAGCTGTAGGAGAAGCTCTGAATAAGGGAAGCCTCTTGTGTAAGCAGTAAAAGATTGAACAGAATGAAAAAGGTATAAATGTTACCAGGTACACTCATCCTATGCATTTGCTCTGTGTGTGTCAAATATTGGCTGCTAACCTGTTAGAAAGGAGTTATATCTGCAGGTATTCTCACAATAACTATTTGTCCTGGGCATACTTGCTATCAGATTGTATGGTGGAAGTAAATCCCTACATTTTATTTTAATTCTGCATGGAAATTGCAGGATATTGGTATGTTGAAGAAAGTGCGGAATATTTTCTGTTGTCTGGCACAAAGTATGGTATGAAGAGAGAGACAAGAGCTTCTAAGAAGTTGAGCAAGAAATGTCCCATGAGTTAATAAACGTCAACTCCCAGAGGAAAACACTAGGCCATCTATAAGGCGCAAAATTAGAAAGGTAGAAAGGTTTGCATCACTCACTAGTATAACCAAAGTAATCTTTTTGCATCACTCACTAGTATAACCAAAGCTAAAAGCTTTGACGTAGATGAATGTTCAAGGAAGAGAGGTCAAGCTGTGGTGAAATTAATGATAACCCAAGTTTTCTCTTTTTCTCTAACGTTTGACAGTGCAGATTCAGGATTCTCACGCAAAGATGCATTATAGCTTGTTGCGTCCAAGCAATTGTTGAAGAAAACTTGTTGCAGCACTTTGTCAGATTTTTAAGGGCATGTCCAGTTACCTCAGAATAGATGAAGCAAATATTTGAAGAACGGGGACTGATTTTTTGGTCAAATTATTTAAAGGGCCTAGAAGATTAAAAATAAATGGTTTGGTAAGTGCACCTGTATAAAAGGACAAGTTACAAGAAAGGAAGATAGTGTCAAAAGAGCCATATACTTTATTTAAAGGATTGCAGACTTGACAGTTTCTGCCTCTCTTGGCAGAAGGCTTTAGTATGTATACTCAGTGAATTGCTTAACAGCATATAAAAACCCTCTTTTTAAGAAACTCTTTGTTTTTTCTTCCTCCTCCCTTTTCGGAGGGAGGAAAGGAGAAGGAGACGAGGGAAAACTGGGGGCAAGTTCACTTGCGCTGAAGTCGCCAGTTCTCAGTGTGCCAGGAACAGAAGTTGCAGCAAGTCAAGCGTCTGCGTCGTGCGGTTTCAAAATAACTGTCTTGCCTATGACTCTTCGTGTTGCTGTCTCATGCATTGTCTCCTGTTTTGGCAAAACCAGTTGTAATTTCAGGATTATAAGCCCTCCTTAGCTGGATCTCCAGAGGGAGGTTACAGCATGTATGTATAGAAACAAAATTTTGTTTTCTAATCACTTGGATATTTCTTAAAATTACAAAGAAATGTCAAAAATAAGCCTAGTACACAGCAATGCTGAGCATCAGCGAACAGCAGGCATAGTTATGCAATACAATTATAGGAGACTATTTAACTGAAATGTCAATAATAAGATCTAATCCTCATGATAAAAATTATTTTTTTGATTTAACTTTATTCTTTCTTCTTCAACTCTTCCTCTCTTCCCTTTGAACCTTATTCATACTAGGGAACAACTTTAGGCAATGTCTGTGGTTCTGCTGTGTTTAGCACCACACGCTGTAAGAAAGTGCTATAATTGCTACTACTAAAAATAAATAAGAATATCTATTAAAAGAAAGCTTTTCTGCAGTTGTCAGACTGTTTTTTTTCCATGTTTAATAGCATGTTATATTTTGTGCTGAACTTGGTTAAGTTTAAAAATTAACTCCTTGGAAAAAAAACATGTAGAGGTTTTTAATTTTTCAGTAAAATATGAAGGCTTGGTTTCATGGATGTATTTGCAAGAATGGAAAGGTATGATGTGCCTGCTTAGTCAGATGAGCTTCTTTTTTTACGTAAAGGTGCATTAAAAATTCTTGTGTACTTAATGTACTGGAACAGCATCCATGTTCCAGTACATCCATAAATACAACCATGTTCCTATAATGTGTAATAAATTCTTTACAGCAGATAGTCCCATGGATATGTACAAAAATAACTGTTTAAAAGTTAATACATGAGTACTTGTCATTTCACTACCAGTCATGCAATTGACTTAGTGCCGTGAACCTGCTTATGTCAAGTCAGTTATGAGGCTTGAGCCCCTGTCTCCTTTCTCTCTTTTCTGATATATGAATACTATAAAACGAAAGTGCTAATCACATGTGCACTTTCCATTTTTACTATTCTTGACTTGCAGAGTGCAAAAAAGAACCTTGTCAGCTTCCTCACAGTTTAAAGAGAGAAAATAGATATTCAGAGGGATGCATTTTGTTTTCAGTGCAGATTGTTTTGAGGCTTAAACAAGGCAATCTTCTGTTTTCTTTGAGGTCTTACATGACACGTTTCAGCTTGGATAAACTTTTTTTTTTTTTTAGGGTGCAGGGAAGTTATAAAACCTTTGGGAACGTGCAGCAAAGATTTATTGTAATGGAAACTGCAAGTCAACCAGAACTATAGCAGCACCAGTGTGATTACCTCATTTAGGAAGGGTTTACAGTGCTCATATTGGGTAATGTCCCAGATTGGAAATGTCAAATTTACGCCAAGGAAATCAATTGGCTCCTGGTTGGGCAGGTAGAATTTTAAAGCTCACAAGCACAAATGTGTTTACTAGTGGTGGTTGGTTGTGTGTGTGTGTTACCTTCTGAAATCATTTTAATGCTAGAAGATTGAAGTATGCCA